ACAGTAGACGTTGGCGTCAACCACTCGATTCAGCTCGAGGAGAAGGTTATCATGGATGGTGATTCAATTGAAATCAAATCAGAGCCCGATGTCAAAGACGAGCCGGAGGCTGCTGATTACGTTTACATGGTGTCGATTCCGAATCAACATCGAGTGCAACACGTCAAGTTGGAACTAGCCGATGATACAAGCAATGGACTTCAAAGCGATGGATCGCCTGGAATCAACGAGTTCGAATGGATTCATATCGAACCAGAGCCTAAAGCTGAAGAGGTGGAAAAAGCTGATTGCAAGCCAGAAGAAAGCAAAAAATCACAGCCAAGCGGTGATGGCTCAGGCAAGAGAAACATTGACGTCAAACAGGCTAAAAAGCAGAATCGCGATGGTCACAAAACACTGGCTGCCAAATTGAAGTCAATCGAAGCGACAGGCAGAGCCAGATCGGTCATCATTGCATCTCACAAAAAGCGATCAGCTGCAAAAAAAAACAAGAAACAACACAAGTGCCCGACGTGTGATCATGTCGCATCACGGCCATGCAATTTGAAGACGCATATGTTGACGCACACTGGCGAGAAGCCGTTCCCGTGCAACATCTGTGACAAACGATTCACACAAACATCGAACCTTCAAACACATTTGAAAACACACCCCGATGAATATCCGTTCAGCTGTTCAGTTTGTCTCAAGCGGTTCGCTCAGAATGATGAAAGATTGGAGCATGAAGTCACTTGCGATGGGCGACACTACGAATGCCACTTGTGCAAGAAATTCTCTACTCCACACAAGGTTTATTTGAAGATTCATATGCGTGTGCACACCGGCGTAAGACCTTTCCGATGCAGCCTTTGCTCCAAGAAATTCACACGAAAGGCACATTTGAAAGGTCATACAAAACTTCACACAAATTCTCGTCCGGTGAAATTCCAATGTTTGGTTTGCGCCCGAAACTTCTCTCAAGAGATGGAAAAGCAGCAACATGAATCGAAGTGCCAAAGTCGACGTTACGAATGTTACTTGTGCAAGAGCTACGTGACATCTCGTAAATGTGGTATGATGTCACATATTAGTGCTCACCGGTGTCAAACCATTCCGATGTGAAGTGTGCAAAAAATGCTTCGCGCTGAAATTCAATCTTACGCGCCATCTAAAACACAATCATAAATAATGTAATACTTGATCAAATTGATCAAAGTTGAAAATCTATAGTGAAACAACACTTATACCTTCAATCGACTTCGCAGCATACAATGGAAACAACCAAATTCGGATTTAGATTCAATTCTGACAAATAACCTGGAACTAATTCATAGTGAAGTTGTTAAAAGTCTTAGATCCTTAGTGTGGTCCCAGTCAATGGACGGACCTTCTATACTTTTCAATAAAAAAAATATTAGAAAATCTAAATTGAACGAATTATAACTTTTCAATTCTATGTTTTTAGAATTAGAACCAACATTAACTGGAAATTAAGTACAGAAGAATTTATTGCTTTGTTCTATTACATATTCTTCTTCAGAGAATTTCAAACGACTTCCTAACGGACTGTCCCTTGGCGTGCAAA